CATAGGCATAGGCGTAGGCATAGGATTCAGGGGGGGGTGAATAGGCATTGGCATAGGCATAGACATAATAATAAGGGGGGGAGGGAAGGCACAGGAATTAGAGGGGGGCCAACGGACCAATTAGTTGGTTTTGAGCTCGGGCTCCTATGGGGCAAGCCTTTTTGTAGAAAAATGCCCGTGATCGGCAAGCAGTGCGCGTGTGGCCACGCTGGCGAACGCGCTTCATCCGCCAGCCCGCTGCGGGCCAGGCTGAGAATCTGGCGCCCCGTTGAACCTGCGCGGCATGCGCTGTTTTACCTCGCGCTTCAATGACTGATTACCCGCCGATACTTGTCAGAGGACTCCACGATGCATACAGCCATTCGCACATCTATCGGCCGTCAAATCACGAGTATCACACCACAGCACACCGCACACGATACCTCTCTCCATGACGCGTCGGACGCAGCTGACGCGGCCAGGAAGGAGGGTACACTCACTGGGTGTCTCAAGGTCCTTGCTGTGAAAGGACTTGAAGACAGACTCGGCCTCAATGGTAGGTGCTACCTTGATGCGTAGGCCACCGGTTCCCAATATTGTTTGGCTAATGTCGGGGTAGGTGCTGCTGCCTTGACTTCGCGCAGCGTGGCGCTGACTGGGTAGCAGCCCCCCAGACTGCGGGCTACCGCTCGGCTCTCAGCCAAATAGCTCGAGCGCGTGTGTAGTCGATGCAAAGTACAGTTCGCATATATCGAGTGACCGCTCGTTGTTCCACGAGGCGCATGGCAACGCAATGATAGGATGGCACCTCTGACGCCGCGCCCCCGGCCTCGTCAGCGACGTCGCCGTTGAGGCGGCGAAAACCTGAGTTGCCATGTGAGTCCACATCTCCTGTCGGAACCAGTGCTTGGCATGTGATCTTATTGGAGCCTTGCTGTAGCTTTCGCGCAGCGGCGTTGAGTCGCCGCACTTGCGTGGCGGTCGGTTCTTGGACACGTTGCGAAAAGGGGCTTGCTTGCCGTGGGCCAGCGCCGGGCGATCATACCGCGCGCTAACGCGCCGCGTAAGCTCATGCACGCAACTGGCGCTGTTCTCGTCGCCTGCTTCGCACGCTTCTTCCCCCGTCAACCCTGGGCGCTGCGTGGGGCGAAACTCCGTACTTGATGCGCGTTGGCCAATCTGGGCGTGGCCATCCTCGGTCTCGGCAGATCGCGCAGCGCAGTTTGCGCGGCTCTGTCTCGAGCTAACATGCGCCGATCGTTCCTTCCACGCATCTGACGCGCCTGTCAACAGTGCCATCGGCTCCTGCCTCATCTTTTTCGCCCGCATGCTTGGCTGCCAGGACATCGGGGCCCGTTTCGAACCGCGACGCGGGATGTCGGCGCGAGACAGAAGCCGCCCGTCGTCTGTCCTGAGTTCGAACGAGAACGCTCTGGAAGGCGCGCTCGGTGCCTGTTGTTGGCCGAGGGCGCCGCCGACAGCGCCTCGATCCGTCGCGCGACGTAAAAACGTTTTTTTCTCAGCCGAAGCAGAGTCAGGTGGCGGCGCAGAACGCACCACGCGCTCCCTCGCGCAAGCGGCTGCAGCTAATCCGCTGCGAACCAGGCCCTTCAAGGAAACCTCTTATATGGCGGCGGACGCACTGATCCACAACCGTCTGCACGCAACCGCGCTTGCGATCGGTCTCTGGCTGGCCCACCCGGCCGCGCCTGGAAACGGCCCCCGCATCGGATGCCTCGACGCGCGTGAATCCGCGAAGAGCGAGGCGTAGCCAAATCACGCGGTCGATGTCGCCTCTCTCGTTGGTCGCGAACTTCCAGTTGCGCGCGCGCCTCAGCGCCGCGACGTTGGTCGCGCGTCTGACGCACTGCGTCGTGAGGCTACGGTTGCCATGCCCGACCTTGAGTGCCGCGCGCGCTGCTTTGGGCATCCTCGCAGCTTTGCCCGCTTCTCAATCTTCGCCGGGATGTCGTCTCCCTTGGCGGCGACAGCGCTCCTTGATGCACGGGGCGCGCGCGCCCGCGTCGTAGCTACCGTGGTCATCGTCGAACTGGTTGCGCCGCTGCGCCGCCGGCGCGGCCTTGCGCGCGTCTGCCGCGAAGCAGGGCCCAACGCGCTGACCGTGGTAGCCCGCGTCGAGGCTATCTGTTACGCCGTGGTCAGTTGCGTGCGCGGGGACGCGATGCGTCTCCTCAATGTCGCGCTGCCGGCAGCGCCCATCCATCAAATTTCTTTGCCCGTCGCCGGCAGCCGCCAGCGCGCAGTTTCGGCGATCCCCTCAGATAATGCAACAACCCAAGATTCGGACGCAACGCCCTCCGTGAATTCCCCCCCCCCCCAGTTGTTCTACGCACAACGCCTCGACGACGTGGGCTCCGAGATCGGCCCCCAGCCCCCCGCGGGTGGCAGGGGGTCGGCCACCGTCGGCGGCGGGAGGGGCCTGCCGTTGCGCCTCCCGAGCGCTCCTTGCCGACAGCGGCGCGTCCGCCAAGTCCTCGGAATCGGACAGGTCTTCGTCGAAACCTGCCAATGGGTTCGGGGGCTCGAGGCGTTGCATGATGCATGCGTGAGCAAATTCTGCGACGTCCTGCATGTTCAGGGCTGCGAAGTCGGATTCGCGGAAATGGAATCCCGACGCAGCGCCGCGATCACAATGTAACGCGCGCGACGATCGGCGCGAGGCGAAGCGTGTAACCTGTGGATGCCGCTTGCCAAGCGTACTGCCACCACACTTGCATTCCAAACTAGTCCCTGATGAGAACCAACCAGGCTAAATGCACCTTGGGCGAGAGTCTGCTCGCTGTGGTCATCCGCAAGTGCCCCTGCTTGATGGGCAAGCATCCGCGCACCATGGCAGACTCCACGCAGATAAGCTCGAGATAGTCGGTGCCGGTCTCGCGGGCGATGAGGGCCTCCGCGCGCAATGATCTGGCGCAGCCTGTGTGAACCTTTCATACTTATAGCGATATGATTCTCAAGCCCTGCTCTGCCACGCGCGTTCAGACGCCCATCGAACTTCTTGAGCCCTCGCGACCCCCGCGCCAGCGCACAGACCGCGCGCGCCCCGATTTAGCCCCCCCCCCCTTATCGCCACCCTGCGCGATCGCATGAACAATCGTTACGAAATGCACACCAGACCGTCCTGGCCCTCACGGGCCCTCGATCTATGGGGAGTGCCCTGGGCGGGGGTGTTCATTTGGTGCAGCCAGCTCGAACCCTTTTTACGCGCCTCCGACCGGTCCACGACTGGGCCCGAAACGACCCACGGGCAAGATCCCCGCCGCGACTCCCCGCACTAAAGAGGACGCGGCGCTCGTGGGCTGATCGCAAGGTCACCTCATCTTCAGCCACTATACTCAGAATGGTGTGGCGTGGGCACCTTTCTGGTTTTCATCTACCCAACGCATACGATCCCCGTCAAACAAAACCACGCGGTGCCCACTTGCTGACGCCAGCGCTCACCATCGCCGGCAACAAACAACATTCGGTGAACATCTGCCGGTGCCAATCCCCACGATTCCTCGCAACACATTGCTATCCAGTGCGCGGCGGTTGATCTTCAGAGCGGTCCAAGCTCGCGCCCTCTGCAACAAATACCATGGGGTGAACATCGGCTAACCCGCGCAACGGCCCAGCCTCCACATCCTAGACAAACGGTGCCATTCGGTGCACACCTGCTTCAAAAAACAGCTTAGTGGACACCAGCTGATTTTCATAGCTCTTTCCCAACCTCCCAGACTCCCAGGCGCTCCAGACGCTCAAATCGTTCCTCAAGCGCTCCCAAGCTCGCCGTCGCCACAAGCACCAGCAGCGTCCACCTCCGCACATTCTCACTATTTCACAACCCTCGTCGCCGCAGGAGGGGCCAAGGAGTAGATTCATCAAATTGCGTTGTCGCGCTCAGATTGTTGATGATTTCGGACGGACGACAAGCGCCAAACAAACGCAAAACGCAACACAAACCTACTTGAAATAGGCAAACATGTGCCGAGGACCGTGGCGTGGAAGAGAAGACACCAAGAGCTAACCGCGACAATTATTGCCTGGGCTGTCGTGCCGAGGAAAGGGGGGAAGAAGAGGAGGATGGGGGAGATGCCAGATAGTGAAAGATACGAATTAGCCCTAAAACATGTCGACCCCCAGCCGGACGAACTGCATTGCGACAGCTCCTCATTGAAAGGCCTGAATCGCCAAGGCAATACTCTCACGATGGCAGGAGAAAGGAGGGAGAGGCGGGACGACGACAGCAACAGAGCCCGCGAATGCACAGTCCAGCCAGGGCATAGCCCGGGGCCCATGCGCAACGGGGGGAGGGGCGGTTGGCCGGTGTGAGGAGGTCGATCTTATGAGAAGGGATAGAATCATGACCCAGAGACGACCCGAGATAGCCCCGAGACGGCCCAGAAATGTTCAGAGGATGCAGGAGGATGCAAAACCGCGTTGACGCGAAAAGGGGACAGGTCGATCTTATGGGAAGGGCTTAGGGCGTGGGAGGATGATGCGAGCTGAGGGTGATGTGAACACTAACCCTAACCCCACCTTACCCCTAGCATCCTAACCTCAAGAAGCTGATCCCGAACAACGTAACACCCTATTCCGAACACCCTACACCGAACATCCAAACCCTAACACCCTGACCCCAACACCCTACGCTTAGCACCCTGACCCCAACACCCTCACCATAACACCCTGATCACACACCTGAGCGCGACCTCTGCTCTTCCACCGTCAATGGGGAGGGGTTGAACCCCTCACCCTTTCCTAAGCCAGGGTGGGTTCACCCCCCACCTCTCTTTTGGAAGGGGGTGGGGCAGGGGAGGTAAAAACAGACACAACCCCCTGGAAGTGGCAAGGGTGGGGTCGTTAGCCCCTCCTCTCCGTTTTGCATTGGGGGTCCACCGCTGGCGCTCTGTCCGAATCAAGATTGGGGGGCTGACCTGTGTTCACTGGCCCCCCCTCCTCACCCTTCTCCCTCCTGTACTGCCCCCAAGCCTCCCCCCCCAGCGCGGTGGCGGATTTGCGTGGCAGCACAACTGGATAAAAGTTGCCCCATCTTGTGGGCGCAGAGGGCTGTGCAGTGCATGCCGACCAAGGTGGCCCACGCGAGGTTGGTGTGTCCACCTTAGCACGCTCGCGCAAGAAGAGTCCAGCATAAAGCTGTAACGGATACTCGGGTTGGGAGCAAAGACGCGTTCGCTGGCCTGCCCAGAGCCAGAACTGAGGCGCTGGACAATGGTCCTTGATCCACCGATTGTTCCGAAATCTCCTGTGTTGTTGGATCCTCGGTTTGCATCCACAGCGCAGAGCATATCATGTCCTCCTCCTCATCCCTCCCTCACCTCAGCGGCCAGGATGAAGAAAGACTCGGACTCGAAGTCAGAAAGGTGGCCCTCGCTGGGGCGAGACGAACAGCAGCAGCAAGATGTGGAGTGGAAGGAGCGGAAAGAACAGCAGGACCAGGGAAAGGCGGCTGACGGGAAACGGGGGGGACCACAATGAAGCTCGACTCCCATCCAGAAAAGTGGCCCGCGCTGGGGCGAGAACACAACTCTGAACGACGGGATCAAAGCGCCGATCCAAAAATGAGGCACACGCTGCAACGGGGACACAATTTTGAAACACCGCAAGCAATCGGATTGTAGAGTGAGCGTTTTTATATCCGGCGTATCGACATTGGGCGGAAGGGGGGGAGGGGGGGGGGTCTGGCTCCAGACCTCTGCTCAATGCGACTGTTTGCAGCAGTGCGTCCTGTGGGGGAGACTCCACCTGCTCGAAACAGGCGCCAAAAAAGCCAAGATCTACTCCAGGGGTGGGGAGGAGGGAGGGGTACGAGGACCCGCGCCGATCGGCAAAACAATGGATAACAAACCAACACAAAAGAGCATGACAAACAACTGTTATTGAAATCGTGTGTTTGAGACAACAGATATACGCGGAGGAGGGCGGGCTACTTGTTTGCCATCTTCGGGTGAAGAGGAAAAAAGTATTCAGATTGCATGCTTCTACACTTCCCTGATCAAGGCAACTCGCCTGGCGATCTGCTTCTGGATGAGCTGGTTGGGATACTTTTTGGTCAACGGCCTCGTGAAGCGGGTCAAAAGGCGTCCAAACTGGTGTGGATATGCGAAGCGACAAGATTTGGTACTTCTTTCAGCGCTTTGATTGTATCCTCCACCCTCGTCGTCATCGTCCCGCCCAGGAGGCAGCCGCATGCAAACTCCACAATCGCGCATCAACGCTTCGAATAAGAAACATCTGCACCAGGCTCCGACCTCGAAAGCGGCTAGCGGCCAACTCCCGCCAGCTGTGTCGGACGCCCCGGCGCCGCTTGGACCTGCAAGCCTTGACGCAACCCAATGCCGTGCAGGCAGGACATCGTGTCGGCATCTCCCGCAGCATCTCCCGTCCTTCCGCGGCATCTCCAGAGCTGCCAGGCCCGCAGTGATCTCCCCGCGACGCCTACCATGCGAACAAGGGCTCGCCTCAGGTCGGGCAGCCGGATGTTGGACGAAAAACCCAAAATACGCCAAGCATGCAACAAGAAGTCAACCATTCCTGTCAAAAAGTGCCAACATTACTGCTAGACACTTTTTGGAATATTCCGCCTGTAGGAGGGACATGCCCGACTGCAGGCTGGCCAAATCTCGCGTGCGGCCGCCTCGCCCCGCATCCCTGCCGAACCTGATGCTGTTCCCATCCTACTTAAAGACCGTATCTCAGAAATAATTTCGAGCACACGGAAAAGTGCCGAAAGAGTGTCGAAACAGTGTCGGGCGAGTGTCTCCCAGGGCCCGACACGTGAAAACCCTCGAGTTTCGGTATTCTATTTGGTGCTCGAAATTCTTGCTGGTGATCGAGGCTAAAGTAGGTTGGAACATCATAAACCGAGCCCCAGGCCAGCCAGCAGCACGGCTGAAGGGACATGCCTGTAGAGGGACATGCCCGACTGACGGGACATGCCCGACTGAAGGCTGGCCAGATGGGGAGGAGGGGGAGGAGGAAGAGGATGGGGAGGAGAAGGAGGAGGAGGAGGAGGAGGAGGAGGAGGAGGAGGAGAGCCCTGCCGAGCCCCAGGCCAGCCAGCAGCACGGCCGTGTACTGCATCCAGGTCGCGAAGGTCGTCAGCGAGCCGCAGAAGCCGCTGGACCAGCCGAGGCCCAGGGAGTCCCGCACGCGCGCGGCCGGCGAGGCCGCGGCCCCGCCGCCTGCCGCCCCCAGCGGGGCCTCGGGGGAGCCCCAGGCCTCCAGGAGGAGGAGGAGGAGGAGGAGGAGGAGGAGGAGGAGAAGGAGGAGGAGGAGGAGGAGGAGGAGAGAGGAGGCGAGGACGGGAAGAGAGGCCTCCTGGGTGGGGGCCGAGCAGACGGGGTCGGAGGACCTCGCCGCGCAGCCGACACATCGGCGACGCCCTGGCGACGTCGACGGTGCATCGGCGACGTCGGCGCGGAGAAAACTGGGCCCCACATCGCGCCGCATCGCCGATGCATCGCCGATGCATCGGCGATGCATCGGCAATCCTCCGACCACGACAGCTCCGGCTCCATCTATAGGAGGCCTGCGGGAGGCCCGAAGCCCTGGCCCTGCTTGAGCCTCCTGGCGGGCGGCCCTCGCCGTCGAGGCCGTGCGGCCGCCTCGAGAGCCGGGCCCAGGACCGCGCGCTCCCAGACCGACGCCGCGGGTCGACTGCGAGGGGGGGCCCCATAGAGATGGCGAGGCGGGGACCTTTTCGGGACCACCGCCTGGGGGATCGACCTGCGGGCACCTCGGCAGGCGGTGGATGCGGATGTGTTCGGGCCCTGGGGGGGAAGGCAAGTCAATCCACACCCACCGCCGGCCGAGGCCACCGAAGGTCGATACTCCAGGGAGGGGGTGATGCGTAACCCCCCGCCTCGACACATACGTTCGACGTCCAACGTCTTGGACAATCAAGGCGGCTGGCTTGTGTGAGACTGGGCCTCCTGAGGCTCGATTTGCGGGCACCAGGGGGGGGAACACGCGAACAAAAACGCAGCCCACGATGGGTTCGAGAACTGGACTCTGGAGCCCCGCTTGTTGCAGAGATCAACACGCGCAAATCTGGGATCGGGGTTCCGTATCCAGAGCCCCGAGCTCAACAGAACCGCGAATGGGTACGCATTGTCATGGCCAACGGCTAGTCTGCGTCGTGGCGACTTGCGCGTTGGCTCTTGACACTTCGTGGATCGTTCAGCCCTGAGCGACAGCGGCATTCCGATAGAATCGGGGCTCATTGGAGAGCACACGCGAGAAGGCACAAGACCCTTCCGAGGGACACGTTGCCGTAGGAATGCAGAAGGCATGAGTCGCGAGACACAGGACACAAGGGTATACCCTTGATCTGGCAGGGTCGACCTACAGGGCAGTCTTTAATTCACGGGATTCTTAAAAAATATTTGATTTTTGAGACATAATCAATATATGAATAAATCTATGCATGAACTCATCGTTGTTTTTAGTACTAACTCCCTACATTTTTGACACATGATCCGCACGCGGAGCTACTAATCAACCTGAACTGTAACGATCATTCGGGGATCTTCTGACCCGGGTCAATCCAGACCCCGGTCAGCCAGAAACCAAAAACTGCAATGCAGGACAAAAAAAATGCAACGCAGGTCTTCGCAAACCCGGGTCAGCCAATATGTGCGACCCCATCGCGGCCACGAGCGGCTCGCTAACCCGGGTCAGCCAGAGGGGGTCTTCGCAGGATCCTGCAGGATCTGGCGCTCTGGCTGACCCCCGTTTGCAATGACCCCCGTCTCGAGGCTCCCGAACTGTAACGATCATTCGACGTCGGCGGATTCCGGGCCACTGGCGGCCTTCGTCCTTGAACGCCAGCGCTGGAGTCGCCGCCGTGTGGGCACGGCCCGACGTGGCCGCACGGGAGCCCCGAGGCTGCGTGTAAGTCGGAGGGCGCCAGATCAATCGGGGCGCTGTCTGCTGAAGGTGCCCAAGGACACACGAATAAATAGACACACATGAAAATATTCCACATTTTTTTGGGGGGGTGTTTTCGTCTTCCCCCCCCCCCACACTTCCCATATTTTCCCATATTTTCTGGGGGATCGACGATTAATTGTGTCTGTATGTTTCTTTCCCTCCTGATTCGCGAACTCTCGAGCACACAATGAGTCGCGCGGGCGAGGGCACACGATTGTTTCTCCCAGGTCTGGTGCAGAATCGCCGGCCGCGGGAGCCGACCTTTGAGAACAAATCCGTGCGCGTGGGGCGGATCGCCCCGACAAGGAAACAGCACGTTCTCCCGAGCCAATGCAAAACGGCCAGCCGCAGGCGCCGAGTCGGTTCTTCAAAGGCAGGTCGATGTGTCGCAGACGACTGGTCAGCGGGTCGCGCGGGCGGGGACCGACGGTGCTCCCCAAGGCAATGCGCAAGAGACCGCCGAAGGCGCAGATGTTCCAAAACGTTGTGGGTTGGTCGCGGGTGGGCCTTCGGCGGGAAGCGTGGGCGGGGGCCCGAACAGCGGCAAGCTCGAAGGAAAGTACAACCACCGCCTTTGCCACAACGCTGCGGTCGGCGTCGCTGGGCGGGTCGCGGGCCGGGTCGCGAGGCGTGTCGAGGGATTGGGTTGCAGGGCGGGTCGCGGAGCGGTCGAAGGGTGGGCTCGCCGGGTGGGTCGCCGGGCGGGCCGCGGGTGGTTCGCGGGGAGACCTGGAACAAACAACTGCCCCTGCGCCTGGGGAAAATTTGGGCGCCCGGGTTATCCGGGGTAACTCGGGCCCGGGGTAACTCGGGTTTGGATTCCCGAAAAACGAACCCGAGTTAGCCCTGAGCCGAATTATCCCAGATGATTTGGGGCTCTGGACGCCCGAGCTATCCGGGGTAACTCGGGTCCGGGGCAACGCGGGTTCGGATTCTCGAAAAACGAACCCGAGTTAGCCCTGAGCCGACTTATCCCAGATGATCCGGGTCTCTGAAAAATCGCTCTGGGGCTGTCGAGACCTCGCCCGGGGCCGCGGTCGGCTCGGGCGGGGCAGCTCGGCGGGGCCGCCCGAACACCCCCAGGGGACGCACGGGCGCAGCCCCCGGGCGCCTCCCGTGCGGACCCGCAGCGGCCAAAGAGATCCATGGGGAAAGAACACTGAATGGGGGCCCAGGGACATACACAAAAATACACACAAATAACAGGATGCCCCATATTTGCTCATCAAAGTGAGGGGGCCGAGCGGTCATTCACTGTCCCTGGGTGCGTGGCTGAAGTGGGACTCCGCGGTGCAAATTCTCGTTGTTGTTTGTTGTTGTTTGTTGGTGTTTGTTGTTGTTTGTTGTTGTTTGTTGTTGTTTGTTGTTGTTGTTGTTGTTGTTGTTGGTGTGATTGTTGTTGTTGTTGTTGTTGTTGTTGTTGTTGTTGTTGTTGTTGTTGTTGTTGTTTGTTGTCGTCGTCCCACCCGCAACCCGCCCCGCGACCCACCCGCGACCCACCCCGCGACCCACCCCGCGACCCACCCGCGACCCACCCGCGACCTACCTGCGACCCACCCCGCGACCTACCCGCGACCCACCCCGCGACCCACCCCGCGACCCACCCGCGACCCACCCGCGATCCACCCGCGACCTGCCCCGCGACCCACCCCACGACCCACCCCGCGACCCACCCGCGACCCACCCGCGACCTACCCGCGACCTACCCGCGACCCACCCGCGACCCACCCCGCGACCCACCCGCGACCCACCTTCGACCCAAACAACATGCAAGGTAAAAACAAACATTGTCGGCGCCTGCGGCTGGCTTTTTATGCATTCCTTCGAAGTGGAGAGCCCGCGACCCACCCCGCGACCAACTCGCGACCAACCCGCGACCCAAACCACGATCAGGATACAAACAATATTTTTCGGCGCCTGCGGCGGGCATCTTTTGCATTCGCTCCAGGTGGAGAGCCCGCGGCCCACCCGCGACCACGGTTTTCAGGGTACAAACCACATTTTTCGGCGCTTGCGGCGGGCATCTTTTGCATTCCTTCCCGGAGGAGAACCCACGGCCCACCCGCGACCCAAACCACGTTCAGTGTACAGACCAATTGTTTCGGCGCTTGCGGCGGGCTGCTTTTGCATTCCTTCCAAGTGGAGGTGGAGAGCCCGCGACCCACCTGCGACCCAAATCGCGTTTACTGAACAAACCAAGGCCGCACAAACGCGGCGGCGAATTTTAGCATGCCGTCTGAGCCCGCAACGACCTCTTCAAGCCCCGCGCATCCACGCCAGCCCGTCCAGCAATTTTGCCCCAGCAAGTTGCCTTGATCAGAGAAGTCGGGGAGCATAAAATGAAACAAAAAATTGCGTTGCCGTTATCTTGGGAAAGGAGGGGGCAGGAGGAGTAAACAGGGGACGAGGAAGACGCGGAAGAAGAGAGGATGTAAGGAGAATGTAGGGAAAGAGGACGAGGAGGAGCAGGAGGACGAGGAGGGGGAGGAGGAGGAGGAGGAGGGGAGGAGGAGAACGAGAAGGAGGGGGAGGAGGGGGAGGAGGATGATGATGGACGACAATGGGAGGACGATGATGGAGGCCGATGATGGGGAGGACGACAATGGGAGGACGATGATGGAAGGACGAGGGGGGGAGAGGGAGAACGAGGAAGAGGAGGAGGAGGACGAGGTGGAGGAGGAGGACAATGACGATGACGATGACGATGAGGACGAGGACCAGGAGGAGGAGGAGGAGGAGAAGGAAGAGAAGGAGAAGGAGGCAGAGAGCGCCATCGACAAGGAAGGCGGGGGCCACGAGGTCCGCTGGCTCTACGACGCCCGCGTCGCCCGCGCCAGCCCCCACACTCTTATCCGCAATTGCGGGGGGCTACGTATTTTCTGGGTTTTTGTCTTACCCCCCACTTCCCATATTTACCCGCATTTTCCTGGGGGTGGACGATTAATTTTATCTCTGTGTGTTTTCTCCCCTCCTGAAACGTATCCGCCTCCGCGACCTCGCGGGCCGGGCCCCTGGGCCGCGGCACCGCGGATGTGGGTCGTTTCTTCGCGGATGCCCCGCGCGGAACGTATCCGTGCGACCGCGTATACGCGACATCGCGCCCGGAATTCAGACCGCGAGGGCGCGGAACGCATCCGTGCGACCTTGTATATGTGAGACGCGCCCCGGAATCCAGACCGCGAGGGCGCGGGTACGGATAGTTATGTTCGCTGCTCGTGAGAGATGATCCCAGAGCTCCTCCAAGGAGCTCTCCAGCAAGCACCGCGGATACCAACACACTCGTGGGTCGCAGCGCCGGCGGCGGTCGCACGGCACGATCGAAGCCTGCGCCGGGCCGCTGCAAGATGAGTTGTGCACAAGCAGGCGGGAGACAGAGGAGGGCGGGAGGGCGGTCGCGGAGGCTGGGAAAGGGACATGCGGCGCATTCGAACAGACCATTGAAAACTATGACATGTCTGCTTTACCTGACTTCAGCTTAAGACCGCTTCTGAAAGGTTCCCTAAGAGCTCTGCGAGGCTCCTCGGGTGGAGGCCCCCCAAATTGGCTCCAAGTAGCCGGGGTCGGAGGATCGCGCTGCATCGCCGATGCATCGACGGTGCATCGCCGACGTCGACGATGCATCCGCAACGTCGACATGGCGAAAGTTGGGCCCCACATCGAGCCGCATCGCAGATGCATTGGCGATGTGGCGCGATCCTCCGACCCCATCCACTCGGACCCCATCCGGGAGGCTCGGGTCGAGGACCCCCATACAGTGGAGGCCAGTCCACAAGAACCCTTCCAAAAGAAACCCAACCCTGAGACCCCAAGACGTCCACTGATTCTTGGCTGGGGTGGGAACGTCGCGCTCTCCATCGCAAAACCATCGAGACCCAAGAAACCCAGGGCACCCTGGAGGCAAGCAGGGTGTTTCTTGGCATGGGCCCTCACTGTAGAGCACCCGTGGCGGCCCCACGAAGGCCCGAGGACGGCTCGGGCGGGATGGCCCCGGCGCCCCCCGAGCCGGCCCCACTGGGCGCGGAGGGCGCGAGCCCCCACGAGCTCGCCCGCCGACGTGCGGGAGACCCTCGCGTGCCATCTCACGAGTGGCGAACGTATCCGTATCCGCGCCCCCGCGGTCTGGGCTCCGGAGCGCGATCCCGCAGACGCGGTCGCACGGCTGCGCTCCGCGCGGGGCGTCCACGAAGCAACGGCCTGCCTCTGCGGGGCCTCTGCCCAGGGGGCCCAGCCCGCGAGGCCGCGGGATGCGGATGTGCTGTACCGCCCACGGCGATCACCAGTCCAGCCTTGTCCCCCGCGATATCCACTCGCCACGGCGGAGGGCCCCCGAAGAAGGGCGTGCGCACCACCGCGGCCACCCCGCCAGGGGCGCCCGGCGACCTCCCAGGGCACGGCTGTGGGGGACACAGCAGCCATAATACCGCTGCGGCGCGCGAAGGCCCCGGGAGAGGCCGGCGGTGGGCACCCCCCCAGGGGGGTCTTGCGGGGTCGGTGTGCAGGCTCCTCTGCTCCTCTCTCTCGGGGACGGGGAGGAGGGAGGAGGAGGAGGAGGGAGGAGGGAGGAGGGAGGAGGAGGAGGAGGAGGAGGAGGAGGAGGAGGAGAGGAGGAGGAGGAGGAGGAGGAGGAGGAGGAGGAGGAGGAGGAGGAGGAGGAGGAGGAGGAGGAGGGAGGAGGAGGAGGAGGAGGAGGAGGAGGAGGAGGAGGAGGAGGAGGAGGAGGAGGAGGCCACACCGTGAAGCCTGCCTCTACAGTCCAGACTTCCGAGGCGCCGGCAGGGGCTCAGAGCCTCAGAGGACGTCTGCAGCCAAGGGAGACCCCGGCAGGGGTGCGCGAGGTGCCCCAGCGCCAGGTGCGCGAGGCGGGGACTGAGATCCATGCTCACCGCCTGGGGGACCGATGCCCTGGGACCCCAGGGGGGCGCTGGATATCGATGTATCTGGGCCCCAAGGGCCCCGAGCACATCCACATCCACCGCCTGCCGAGGTCCCTGAAGGTCGACCCCCAGGCGGTGTTTATGGATAAACTCCGGCCGCGGAGGCGATGGAGGAAAATCCGAAGGGGCAGGGCTCGTAGCCGGTCGCGGAACGGGGGGCGATGGCTAGACTGGGCGACTGCTCTGGGGGTCTCCCGCGGATGTGCCAGCCCCGCTGCCCCAGGAGCGCAATGAAGAACGAGCCGGCCAGGTTCTGGACGAAGTATCCGGAGGCGCTGACGCTGCCGCTGTCGCCGCACCCGTTTTCGACCTCCCAGATCTCGTCATCGTTGCCCTTCGGGCGGCACCAACTGTGATGCCAGGGCTGGACCCAAACGTTGTTTTTCGTTTAATTGTCGTTTTGTTGTTCGTTTTGCTCTACATGTTTTTCTGTACCTCCCTGCCAAAACGGAAAACAAAATACAGCCGAAGTCCAGCAAAGCAGCGTTTAGGTCCAGCCCTGTGTGATGCCTCTGCGCTCAGAGCCGCTCGCGTCGCGGAAAAAACAACGACAGAAGGCGGTTTGCCGTTCTCGGCCTCTGGGGGGCCCTCGCTGGGCCCCAGGACCGTATAGTCGGGGCTGATCGGAGAGGACACGCGAGAGGACACAAGACCCTTCCGAGGGTCACATTGCCACAGGAATGTAGATGGCATGGGTCGCGAAGCACAGGGCACCAGGGTACCCTTGGCAGGGTCGACCTACAAATCAGCCTCAACTGTAGCAGAAACGACTCAGGATGAAACACTGGGCTCTGGGAAGGGGTCCAGACCTCTGGGGGTCCCCGTCGTGGAAAGATCGTTGCGTCGGCGGTCTGGGCACCACCCCTTGCTCGGGCACGCCTGGGCCCTGGCCAGGGTCGGATCGGCGGAGACACGCCCCCGTGGCTTGACTCAACGAACAAGGGCGTCTGCACCGATCCTCGGCATAACATCGAAACGCTGTCCTAAGGAACCCTGCGTAAGGAACAATGCCCTTTTTCCCATACACTCAACGCCGACCTCCCATAGAAACCTAAGGAAGCCCTACGAACAACTGTACAACAACTCAAGAGCACTGAGCCCCTCCCCATCGAAAAAGGCTCCTTCTTCAGCGGCCCAGCTGTATGAGACCGGCGAGGGTGGGTGGCCGCATCCGACAGCGCCTTGAAAACGCTGGCCTGCGTTCTATGCCTTCCGCCACGCTTCCGCCGCTGAGCGCGCCGCCTCCCGCGGGGGCGCACGAGGTATAAACCCTTGATGTTGATGCCCGGGCGGCGATTCCCTGTTGGAGCGCCCTGCCCTGAGATCCGACGTGGAGCTCGCCTGGCGGGAGGGGCCCATCCCTTGGCCGCCTCATGCAAGATTGGTGATGGACCTCTCCATGCACGACCCGTTTGAGGGATGTGCCGAATTGGGCGGGGGGAAGCATGCAGACTTTCTAACAGGGGCCGTGTGTGGAGCTCCCGATAGGGCGCGACGACGCGCGAGAGACTGCGCGGAACTGCGCGAGCTGACGAACACGAGCGTTCCTACCGGGCCCGTAGGTGGGGCTCGTGCGAGGAACATGTCGAAACGGGCGGGATTACGCATGCATGTCGAGTCCCCTTCAGGGCAGGGGAATATTGGGTTTACGTAAATGATGTTAATTCTGGGTCAATAATCGTTTTTGGTTTTGTGCGTAATAATATTACGTTTCAATAATTATGTTTGGGTTTTTGGTGTGGGTTCATTTTGAGTATATTGGGAACGTGTGGGGGGTAATTACTCGGGGTGTTCTTCTGTAACTTGTTCACTACCGTTGGTCGGAGACCCTCAATGCATGTCGAGTCCCCTTCAGGGCCGCGATCCTCGTGAGAAGTGCGCTGCAGTGTGCGGCGCCGCAAGGCGGACCCTCCCCCTGAGGCAATAGGTGGAGCGCCCCAAGGAAGGGGCGCGCCTCAGTGGACGGCGCCGTGCGGTCCTCCCATACGAGGCCGCGATCTTAACGAGGGGTGCACTGAAATGGACGGCGCCGCCATACAGACCCCGTCACTAAAGCCGTAAGTGCAGCTCCCTACAGGGCCGGAGTGGGGTGCGTCGAAATGGGCGGCGTCGCCCTGCGGACCCTCCCGCTGGGGCCGCGGTGGCGCACCATCATGGGGCCGCGATGCTTTCGAGGGGTGCGCCGAAATCGGCGCGGTGCCGCCATACGGTCGGGCCCACCGAGACCGCAGGTGGAGCTCACTGCGGGGCCATGAAAAGCATCAGGGGTGTGCTGACATGCGCACGCGGAGAGCAGAGAAAAGAGGAGGGGGAGGAGAAGAAGGAGACGCGCGCTGCTGACTCGAAGCGAGGACCAAACTCACAGGATGGCCAGGGGAAAGCACAGATCTGTGCTGAAAACTGCTGGAACTCCCGACATCACCCATCCGTCCGCGATAGTGTCTGAAGCCAGCTCGATCCTTGTGGATCCCAGGCCCGAAGCTGGACAGACCTGAGGGTAAGTGGTAAGTGGCTAGCTTCTCGTGGGAGCTGGCAACTTACCACTCACCCACGACTAACATGTCGTGGGGAAGTCGCTTCTTCCATGTGGGTGGGTAAGTCGGGGAGCTACCCTCTTACCTCGTTTCTTCCATGCCAATCGTGGGGGGCCCCCACGACTAACATGGAAGAAACGGGTACTGAGGGAAACCAGTCCTGGACTCGGGGCCTTGCCCCAGGACCAGCTCTTCGTGCCCAATCGGTTTTTGACAGTCCCCTGGCCCAGGGAGGCCCCGGGAGCCCAGGAACGGAGAAAAACCTCAGGATGCGGTCCCAGATATCCCACGTCTTGATTTTGTTTCAGGCGGGGCCCCCCGATGTATGTCCCGACCTTTTTCCCCAAGGCACGTGTCTCATCCTGAGCTGTTTGGTGGACGATCCCCTGGGCCCAGCCCCCGAGCCTGAGAACTACGAAAAGTCTCCGTCTTGGTTTCCGGGGGCGGCCAGGAGGGGGGCGTCCAAAGGGGGGGGGGGGGGAGGGGGCGCACATCATGGCCGGCGGCAAATGCGTGGCCCAAGGAAGGGCCAGGGACGCGACGTAACGAAATAAGAAGATGCGCCATGACATCTGAGGAAATACGATGGCCCACGCCATGATATCCGCCCCCCTCTTCGCTGCCCCCGAATTCTGCTAAGACGTTGGATGCCCGGGCTTCCCCAGGGACCCGCTTGCTTCGTGGCCACCCCGAGGAGGCCTGGAGCCCGGTGATCTCCAGCCGGCACGCCGCGCCCATGGCGCCCATCAGGCCGACGATGCCCACTCTGCCCGCGAAATCTGCCACGGGTCCCCAAGGCCCAGGCCTCTGACGCCAGGAGCGATCGCGTTTTCTACGGAAACGAACACTGGCCATCGCTCGGACGTCCATTCCCTGTGTTTTTTTTCGGTTTCGTGCGTGGTTTTTTCGCCAAATGATCAAGGATGCTCCTCGATGGTCCTCGCCGAAGGAAAAATGCACACGTCAGAGCGATGCCAAGAACAAGGACATAAACATACAGAAACTCGGAGGTCCGTGCGGATGTCTCGGATCGGCGCTGGGGCCCCCCGGCGGCGCCTCCGGCGCGCCAGGGAGGGGGGTCCAGCACCGATGCGAGAAATCCAAGCGGACCTCCGAGTTTTTGTTTATGGCATTGTTCGTTCCCTTCTTTTCGCGGCGTGGTCCCTCCATAAGGGAAAGTGAACGGCGACCGTGACCAAGACTGAACGCGGAAACGTGGGCGTCGATCTTGGTCACCGTCCATCTTCGGCCTACGTCAACTCGCGGGAACCCCTCGCGAATCGGCAACGGCCAGCACGGACAACGACCAAGATCGGCGTCGACGAGCTCCATCGACATCCTGTCATGGTCATCCTGCTTCTGACTACCTACCAGACCACCGCAACCCAATCCCAAGTCCCGAATTTCGGGTTGTGGGGAGGGGGGTAGGGGTTGCATGTGTGTTTTTCCCAGTGTTCCCCGACCCACCCCCACTGGAAATGAAGGGCAAATTGAAGCCTTCGGGTTGGGTTGGGGAGCCTTGCTTGGTGGCTGGATGGGGGTTCTGGAGCGAGCGGCCCACCCCCCCCGCCCGTCCTCCTCCCAAAAGACTTGACTGAGCTGCCAGTCGCTGGCAGGGGAGGTCCCCTTTCCCCCCGCTGCGTTGGGGTGGCCTGGTGGGTGGCGACGGGCACCCCCCACGCCGCGCCTCTCTGCCCCCCCGGCGTGGGCCCCCGAGGCCCGGGCCCCGCCGAGTGGGCAGCGCGTCTTCGCCAGAGAGCTCGCTCGCCGAGTGCCCGGACGCCCCCAAAGGTCGCGCCGACTGCAATGGGCCAACTTTCCGCCACGACTACCAGAGGCAGGACGGAGGAGAAGGGGTAGTGGGGAGGTCTTCCTCGCCGGGTTGGGTTGGGGTGGCTTGGTGGGTGGTAAGCCTCCTCCTCGACCCCGAGACCCGGGACCCCTTGGACTCGCGCGCGCCCGACGAACTGCGGCGAGCGCGCTCCGATCGGGATCTCGGAACGGATCCACGACGTGACGACGAGGCCCCCCCCAAGAGGAGGGGGAGGAGGAGGAGGAGGAGGAGGAGGAGGAGGAGGAGGAGGAAGAGGAGAAGGAGGAGGAGGGGGAGGAGGAGGACGCGGAAGAGGAGGAGGAGGAGGAGGAGGCGGAGCTGGGTGCCTGGAAATGGGCACATCCGAGGGGGCGCAGGAGAAACTTGTTGCGTCGGCGGCTAAGTAGGTGGAGGGTGACTGCGCTGGCGATGAGAGGCTTAAGCGGGATGCCGTTAGAGCGAACTGTGCCACCATGCAAGAGGAGGACAAGGAGAGGACGCGGCCGAAGGAGAGTAGGAACGGGGCGGGCGGCTCAGGGGTCAGATCGCTCCCCGAGCGTGTGGCGCGGCCAGCCCCGCCGCAGAGGCCGCGGCGGCTGCTGCGTCAGCGGGCCACGGGCGCAGGAGAAGCTGGAGAGCTGAGTGCCTGGAAATGGGCACCAACAGCAGCACGAGGGAGATAACGATCTTCGATGCTGGTGCTGGTGGCAATCTCTCGGCCGCACTACTGTTGAAGCGGTTAATATTACAGTTATAATTCCCTGAATAATTTTTCCGGTAATGTAATGGGCGTGCGTGACTTTCTGGTTGGATTTGTTTGTTCAGGAAGGTGGATGGATTCTAGAAGGGAATTAACAGGAGTTGGGGAGGATTTGGGAATTGGGGGGGGTTACAAAGGAAAGAGCAGGAGTTGGGAAGTTGGGACCCGGGGATGATTCTACAAAGGAAAGAGCAGGAGTTGGGGGGGATTCTGGAATTGGGGAGGATTCTACAAAAGGAAAAAAGGAGGAGTTGGGGAGGATTTGGGAATTGGGGAGGATTCTACAAAGGAAAAGGAGGAGTTGGGGAGGATTTGGGAATGGGGGGGGGTTCTACAAAGGAAAAAGGAGGAGTTGGGGAGGATTTGGGAAGTGGGGAGGATTCTACAAAGGAAAAAGGAAGGGTTGGGGAGGATTTGGGAATTGGGGAGGATTCTACAAAGGAAAAAGGATGAGTTGGGGGGGATTTTGGAATTGGAAATGATTCTACAAAGGAAAAAAGTAGAGTTGGGGAGGAATTTGGAATTGGGGAGGATTCTACAAAGCAAAAAAGAGGAGTTGTGGAGGATTTGGGAATTGGGGGGAGGGGGGGCTTCTACAAAAGAAAAAGGAGGAGTTGGGGAGGATTTTGGAATTGGGGAGGATTCTACAAAGGAAAAAGGAGGAGTTGGGGAGGATTTTGGAATTGGGGAGGATTCTACACAGGAAAAAAAAGAGCTGGGGAGGATTGAGGAATTGGGGATGATTCTACAAAAGGAAAAAGGAGGAGTTGGGGAGGATTTGGGAATTGGGGTGGATTCTACAAAGGAAAAAGGAGGAGTTGGGGAGGATTTTTGGCATTGGGGAGGATTCTACAAAGGAAACAGGATGAGTTGGGGAGGATTTGGGAATTGGGAAGGATTCCACAAAGGAAAAAGGAGGAGTTGGGGAGGATTTGGGACTTGGGGAGGATTCTACAAAGGAAAAAAGATGGAGTTGGGGAGGATTTGGGAATTGGGGAGGGACCACAAAAAAAAGGAGTTTGGGGGGGATTTGGGAATTGGGGAGGTTTCTACAAAGGAAAAAGGAAGAGTTGGGGAGGATTTGGGACTTGGGAGTATTCTACAACGGAAAAAGAAGCTGGGGAGGATTTGGGAATTGGGGAGGATTCTACAAACGAAAAAGGAAGAGTTGGGGAGGATTTGGGAATTGGGGAGGATTCTACACAGGAAAAAGGAAGAGTTGGGGAGGATTTGGGAATTGGGGAGGATTCTACAAAGGAAAAAGGAGGAGTTGGGGAGGATTTGGTAATTGGGGAGGATTCTACAAAAGAGAAAGGAGAAGTTGGGGATGCTTTGGGAATTGGGGAGGATTCTACACAGGAAAAAGGATGAGTTGGGGAGGATTTGGGAAGTGGGGAGGATTCTACAAAGGAGAAAGGGGAGTTGGGGAGGATTTGGGAATTGGGGAGCGTTCTACAAAGGAACAAGGAGGAGTTGGGGAAGATTTGGGAATTTGGGCGGATTCTACAAAGGAAAAAGGATGAGTTGGGGCGGATGTGTGAATGGGGTGGGTTCTACAAACGAAAAAGAAAGGAGTCGGGAAGGATTTGGGAATTGGGGAGGATTCTACAAAAGAGAAAGAAGGAGTTGGGGATGATTTTGGATTTGGGGAGGATTCTACAAAGGAAAAAGAATGAGTTGAGGGGATTCTTTGGGAATTGGAGAGGATTCTACAAAGGAAAAAGGATGAGTTGGGGAGGATTTGGGGATTGGGGAGGATTCTACAAAGGAAAAAGGAACAGTTGGGGAGGATTTTGGAATTGGGGGGGAATCTTCAAAGGGAAAAAAAAGAGTTGAAGATGATTTGGGAATTGAGACGGACTCTACAAAGGAAAAAGGAAGAGCTGATGAGGATTTGGGAATTGGGGAGGGTTCTACAAAGGAAAAAAAGTGATGTGGGGAGGATTTGGGAATTGGGGTGGGTTCTACCGAGGAAAAAGGAGGAGTTGGGGAGGATTCGGGAATTTGGGAGGATTCTACAAAAGGAAAGAGGAGGAGTTGGGGAGGATCTGGGTATTTGGTGAGGATTCTACAACGGAAAAAAAAAATGGGGAGGATTTTGGAATTGGGGAGGATTCTACAAAGAAAAAGACGGAGTTGGGGAGGATTTGGGAACAGAGGAGGGTTCTACAAAGGAAAAAAACAGAGTTGGTGAGGATTTGGGAATTCGGGAGGATTCTACAAAGGAAAAAGGAAGAGTTAAGGGAGGATTTGGAAATTTGAGAGGATTCTACAATGGAAAAAATGGTGAGATGGGGAGGATTTGGGAATTAGGGAGGATTCTACAAATGGGAGAAGGATGAGTTGGGGAGGATTTGGGGATTGTGGAGGATTCAACAAACGAAAAAGGATGAGTTGGGGAGGATTTGGGAATCGGGGAGGATTCTATAAAAAAAAGGAAAAATATGAGTTAGGGAGGATTTTGGAATTGGGGAGGATTCTACACAGGAGAACGACGGAGTTGGGGGGGATTTGGGAATTGGGGAGGATTCCACAAAGGAAAAAAAAAAAGGTGTGTTGGGGAGGATTTGGGGATTGGTGAGGATTCTACAAAAAGGAAAATGAATAGTTGGGGAGAACTTGGGAATTGGAGGGGATTCTACACATGAAAAAAAGAAGAGTTGAGTATGATTTGGGAATTGAGACGGATTCTACAAAGGAAAGAGGAGGAGCTGGGGGGGATTTGGGAATTGGGGAGGATTCTACAAAGGAAAAAAGAGGAGTTGGGGAGGATTTGGGAATTGGGGAGGGTTCTACCAAGGAAAAAGGAGGAGTTGGGGAGGATTTGGGAAGTGGTGAGGATTTTACAAAAGGAAAAAGGAAGAGTTGGGGAGGATCTGAGTATTTGGGGGAGATTCTACAACGGAAAAAAAAAAACGAGTTGGGGAGGATTTGGGAATTGGTGAGGATCCTACAAATGAAAAAGAGGGAGTTGGGGAGGATTTGGGAATTGGGGAAGATTCTACAAGGGAAAAAGGAGGAGGTGGGGATGATCTGGGAATTGGGGATTATTCTACCAAGGAAAAAATAGGAGTTGGGGGGGATTTGGGAATTAGGGAGGATTCTGCAAAGGAAAAAAGAGGAGTTGGGGAGGATTCGGGAATTGGGGAGGATTCTACAAAGGAATAAAGGAATAGTTGGGGAGGATTTGGGAACTGAGAAGGATTCTACAAAGGAGAAAGGAGGAGTTGGG